ATTACGACTGATCTCCAGACTGCAGAGAGCAGCTCCCCTGGAGAAAAGGGCCGCTTTCCTGGGGCGTCGCGTTCCCACCGAGCGCTCTCCCCTCCAGGGCTATTTTGGGCAGGAACGCACAGGAACGGAGTTCCGGCTGGCTCCCGAGTTGGCCATGCCCAGCAGGAACTCATTAGCATAATAGGCCACTCCCAGCAGCAGAAACTCATTAGGATTGGCTACATTAGGGGTGTGTGGCCTAACATGCAAAGGAGTTCCTGCTACAAAAAAACCGTTTTGACAACAGACAAGGTGAACAGAATAAGAAGCAAAAGGTGGGTGTGGCTGGATGACCACACTTCTGGTAACATGGGGGTGTGGGGCCTAATATGCTAATGTGCTGTGCTGTTGGGTGTGGCCTATTATGCTAATGAGTTCCTGCTGGGCTTTTCTACAAAAAAAGGCCCTGCTCCCCTCCACAAATCCCGCCCTTCCTAGGGTCTACCCCCGAATCTCCAGGAATTCCCCTACCCACAGTGGGCCACCCTGTCTTATGATAGGGTTGCCAAGTCCGTCAGAAACGCCGTCGGGGAGATGGGGGTGGGGACGTTCCAGGAGCCGGAAGTGTTGTCGCACAATGTGCCTATGTCATCCAGAAGTGACGTCGGCATGTCAGTGTCGTCGGGGGGCGACGTTCTGGGTTTTGGGGCAAAACTCTATGGTATAATCAACCCCAAACCATAGAGCTTTGCCCCAAAACCAGAATGTGCCCCCCCGACATCCCCAACGTGTCTATGTCACTTCCGGGTGAAATAGGCATATCATGTTTATTTCCAGCAACATTGCTGTCGGGGGGGGGGGATTTCCTCCCACCGGCCCGGGGGTCGGGGGTGGGCGGGGGCCCCAGGGGGGGGGATTTCCTCCCACCGGCCAGGTGGCCGGTGGTGGGTAGGAGCCCACAAAACCAGGGAATCCCCCACCCCCTGCTGGGGAATGGCAACCCTTTCTTACGAACTTACCATCTGAGAGGATGCCAGTTTGGTGTCGTGGTTAAGTGTGTGGACTCTAATCTGGGAGAACAGGGTTTGATTCCCCACTCCTCCACTTGCACCTGGCTGGATGACCTTGGGTCAGTCACAAGCTCTGGCACAGCTGTCCTTGAAAAAGAGCAGTTTCTGTCAGAGCTCTCTCAGCCCCACCCACCTCACAGGGTGTCTGTTGTGGGGAGGGGAAGGGAAAGGAGTTTGTAAGCCGCTCTGAGACTCCCTTGGGGAGTGAAGGGCGGGGTATAAATCCAATCTCTTCTTCTTCTTCTTCTTCTTCTTTTTGGTGCCTACTCAATTAAAAAGAAAGATCCAGGAGGTGGATATTTGTCTTTACCATTTATTTCTCATAGTCCAGGAAGAGAAAGAAAGAGAGAGGCCATCTTCGAGCTGGCAAAGTTCACAAGTGTGTCACAACTGATTATACATTAATATCGATTTGGATAAGATTACACTAACAGCAACAACTGGGGGCAGTGCCCAGAGAGATAGTGGACTCTTAACACGATTTAGAGAGACAGTTTTGTGTGTGCGCATTCGTACGTGATACGCATTCGAACCCAGGCCACAAAATATTACTTAGACACCTTAGATCTGCCCCTGGAAGGCCAGAATGCAGACGGGTTGATGGAGGATCGCATATTTCCCCAACAAAAACACAGCAGATGAGCAAAGCGGGTGATTGTGGTGTTTATTTCTTTTTGTTTTGTTTTTTGCAAAGCCAAGTGAAGGTATAAACAAGCGGCGTAAAGGACTTTTAGCACCATCTTGTAGACCGGGGGGGGGGGGGGGAAAAAAAAAAAGGCAAAGAAAGAAGTACAATAAATGTGACCGAAAGCACAGCTTATGAATAGTCCAAAGGAAAAAAGGCAGGAAAAGCAAGCAAGCAAATTTTTCATTTGTACAAGGAATGCAGAGAAATGGGTTTACAACTTTTGCCAAGACATAGAAAAATCTGTCGGAAGAAAAAAACCCGAATTAAAGTGATTCCCTAGGCATCCAAATCAAGAAATTTCTGGTGCTCTGCGGTCAATCCTAAGCAAGTCTACTCAGGAGTAAGTGGGCTCTGCAGAACTTGCTCCCTAGTAAGTGCGTTTAGGAATGCAACCCTGAGCTGTGGATGCCAAGTATTACCCCACATGGGGGAAAGTTTCATTTAGAGTGGAGTTCCCCCGTGGACCAGAAGGGGGCAGTTTAGCATCCTACAGAAGATCACCTTTCTATTTACATCCCAATGGGACTCGACTTACTCTCAGTTAAGCAGGCATATACCTGCAGCTTGAAATTTCGTCACTTCGAACAGGAGCGAATTCTGCAGAATGCATTCGTTACCCCTCTGAACTCAACCAAATTTAGAAAGTGCCCCCCATCAATGATTTACCATTTGGACTTGGGTGTGAATCCCTGCTTACGCCACCCGTTGTTCTTTTTGTTCCCTGGGTGAATCTCCTCATCGCAAAAGCATTTCCCTAGCTCCTCAAAGGCCAGTTGGTAGTTCATGAACAAGGATTAATTTATTGATCCCACCCTCTTGTGAGCTCAGCTTGACTTTATGCTGGTCTACAAGGAAGTACATCCACTCTTGTGAAATGCTCAGTAGCAGTCAGACTTACTAATGGGCATTCCTCCTGGATTGCATTTGAGTATCCAAAAATGTGATTCTGGAATATTCGGGTGGATTCCACAGGCAGTGGCCACTAAGCCAATAGAGGAAAACTCTCCAAAATATTCCACGTGCCCCCTGGGTCACAACCCCAAAACGTTTGACTCCCTTTGAGTCCCCAGCGTAATGTATTTCGGATGGTGCGTGTGACGCCCTGATGCGCATACATGAACCTCTTCAGAACAGCGGTTTGTATAATCGAGGAATGTCCATGCATCTCCCTCCCCCCTTCCAAGCTTTCTGAAGAGCAAATATGTATCATGGATGCTTGTCATGAGGCATGCGTTCTTTCAATGAAAAAGAAACATTTGCAATTATTTCCCACATGTCACTTCCTGAACAATATTCCTGAATTCCTCCGGCACGCTGGAGGCATTGAACCCCTTCCCCCTCCCCCTCCCTCTCTACATACACACAATCCTGGCTAAGCATCACACTCTACACTTCTAACACAGCTACGCTTGGCAACACCACCACAGATATCATTACACAAACTTTATAGTCAAGGCGTCTTGGGCACAAGCCATATAGAACACATCACACACGATACGCTACGATTTATGCATTCCTTTCCGGTAATCGGGCCAAGTAACATTTGCTACCCACCGGTCATACATGTCTCCCCCACCCCCCCAAAAAAGTTAGATATGTTCTCCTAACCTGGCATTCTGGCAAAACAAGATTTCCTCTCCTCTCTCAACTATCTCCAAAACGAGCATGTACATTCGGCGAGTTTCTAGGACCTAAGATTCAGGGGAATCCTTTCTCAACCTACGTTGGGACATCGGGGTCCCAAAAATGCTTGCCCTGAGATACCCTTTAGTTATTATTTCAATTTTTTTTAAAATTAATGGGCTTGGAATGAAAAGAACCTAATGGGCATATGAAGCTGCTTCCTATGGAGTCAGACCCCTGATCTATCAGTATTATATGCTTCGGGGTCTTGGGTACAGGTTTTTCGTATTATTTGCTCCCTGGTCCTTTTAGCAGGGATTGAACCTGGGACCGTCTGCATGCAAAGCAGGTGCTCTACCTCTGAGCCACCACAGCTAAGAAAGAGGATAGCGTGTTGATCTCTAAGGTACTTTTAGCTCACTAAAGTATAATATTCTCCCTTCATTCGAGTCCAGTAGCACCTTAGAAACCAACAAAATTTTGGGAGTACGAGCTTTCAAGAGTCAAAGCTCCCTTTGTCAGATACAATTAGGAATGGAAATCCCTAGCTGACGAAAGAAACGTTGAGTCTTGAAAGCTGATCTTCCCAAAATCTTGCTAGCTCTCTAAGGTGCTACTGGACTCGAATCTGGCTCTCTAATAATGCTTGCTGCTGGCAGAAGGGGTTTCCACCACTGAAGAAGAAGGGGAAATATTTTGCCAATATCCCCTTCCACTGCAGACCCCGTTCCACTGCCCCTTCCTGGCGCTGTTCTTGGAAGTCCACTTTCTTTCAGAAACCGGATTTTCACATGTCATTATGTTCTACGAGACATTATCGAGAGGAAGGGGAGAAGCATGCATGCCTTTGCAGGATGCTGACCCTGAAAACTACCTGCTTGCAAAGGGGCTGATCCTACCACTTCTTAAGGAGTCTGAATACTCTTGGGAACTCTCCTGTTCCGCGTAGGATGGCATAAGGAAAAGACTGGCGATGGGCAAGAATGTTTCGAGACAGCGAAAAGAGGCTCGAAAAGGGGTTTTGCTTCCCGTTTTCCGTTTGCTGTTTAACCCCCGTTTTTGCATTATGTGAGAACCAATCCTCTTTCTCCAACTTTTTCTACATCCCTGACACCTGCTGACTGAAAGCCAGGATAGGGATCCCACCTGGAGATTCCCCGAAATTACAGCTCTCCTCCAGACTACAGAGATCAATTGCCCTGGATAAAATGGCCGCTTTGGAGGGTGGAGTCTATGGGATTGTACCCCCACTGAGGGGTCCCTGTTCTCCCCAGGCTCCACCCCCAAATCTCCAGGAGTTTCCCAACCTGGAGCTGGCAACCCTACACCCCACACCCTGCCAATGGCTGGGGGGACCTGGCGAGCATATCCACGGCACTTTTCCTTCTCTGAGAACCTTCTCCCTTGCCTGCCACCAACCCCCTGAAACGAGACCTCCTAACCTTCCTTGAAAACCACACATAAAAAGCTTCCGATTCCATTGGGACACAAGCAGGTATAAAGCCTCTAATTAATTTGGTGGCCTTTATTATAATTTTTTAAAAAGAAAGAGAAAAGAGGGAGTGAGAGAGAGAGAGAGAGAGAGAGAGAGAGAGAGAGAGAGAGAAGGAAGGAGAGCGCGTAAAGGCAGAGAAATTTACTCTTTCGCTTCGGCCAACTTATTGTTCATCTCTTTGCTCTTCTCCTTGTCCTCGGGGTTCGCGGCGCCGGCGGCTTCGGTGCTCTTTTTCTTGGCCGCCCGGCTGGATGCCATCTGCTTATCTTTGGCTTTTTTCAGTGGCTTATGGCTCGTGGGTGTCTTTTTTGGTTTGGGAGGCTGCGGGCTAGGCTTCTCCACCTGGAAGGGGCGCAAGCGATAAACCACCGCCACAAAGAGAAACACGGGGGACACACAAAGGGAGAAGGCAGGGGAAGAAAGGGAGTTTAGAGAGGGCGAGCGATGCGGCGGCAGTTTCTGATTCAGAGCACAAGGGCAGGCGTCAATCAAGCCTGGACTGACCAGTTAGGGCTGCCAACCTCCAGGTGGGCCCTGGAGATCTCCTGGAATCACAACGGATCTCTCGATGACAGAGATCGGTTCCCCTGGAGAAAATGGCTGCATTGGAAGGTGGGTTCTACAGAATCGCACCCCATTTTGGTCCCTCCTCTCCCCAAACCCCATCCTCCCCGGTCTTCACCCCCAAATCTCCAGGAGTTTCCCAAACTGGAGTTGGCAACCCCTATGACCACACACACACACACAAAAAATAGGGCAGGACAGTTCTTAACTTGCCCAAACAACAAGCACTCCTCACTAGAGTGGTGTGGAGGTTGACCAGATCCCAAAGCATGTCACAGAAATAGAACAGTTTTGGTGGCAGTGCGGGGGCAACTTTCCACATGCTGCCATTAAAAAAAAAAATCAACATTTTTATTATGCATTTTCCTTTTGTCAGTACAGGGTAGAACAGCAGGGGGAAAAATTGGGGAGGAAGAATATTTTGTCAGTTTCACCCTTTATGTGCTACTGGGGTAAAAATGACCCTGATACCACCAGTATACACTGCAATTTACAATGAATACACAGAAGACTGACATTATTACAGTTAGAATCATAGCATCATAAAGTTGGAAGGCACCTCCAGGGTCATCTAGTCCAACCCCCTGTACAATGCAGGAAATTCACAAATACCTGCCCCCCACGCACCCCCAGATAATGGCAAAACCCTCCAGAATCCCCGGGCAAACTGGCCTGGGGGGAAATGGCTTCCTGACCCCAAAGTGGCAATCAGTATTTCCCTGGGCATGTAAGAAAGGACCACGGGCACCACAAGTGAGAAGTTGATAAATTTAGAGCGTATGACACTGGAAAACCAAGCTGTATCCATTCCCCCCCTTCCCTGTCTAAACAACCTCTAGTCTTCTTAAAAACCCAAGTTTCCTCATCGGTATGATTGTTACTGAGTCATATTGCCCCGACTTATTTAAAGGCCCCCCGAATCCTAGTCTTCTTAAAAACCCAGGTTTCCTCATTGGTATGATTGTTAAAGGTATGATTGTCCCGACTTATTTAAAGGCCCCCCGAATTGAAAGAAATCCTGGCTACGGGCCTGTTGGAAGCTCGCACTGATAGCAGAATGGAACCTCTGGGTCCAACCTCATATGCACGTTTTCCTTATCACTCTTGCATCCATAAATTTAGAGCGTATGACACTGGAAAACCAAGCTGTATCCATTCCCCCCCTTCCCTGTCTAAACAACCCCTAGTCTTCTTAAAAACCCAGGTTTCCTCATTGGTATGATTGTTAAAGGTATGATTGTCCCGACTTATTTAAAGGCCCCCCCAAATTTAAAGAAATCCTGGCCACGGGCCTGTTGGAAGCTCGCACTGATAGCAGAATGGAACCTCTGGGTCCAACCTCATATGCACGTTTTCCTTATCACTCTTGCATCATCATCATCATCAGTAGTGTGTTTGGCTAAGGAGGAAAACTTCCCGGTTCATCAAAGAGGAATGGAGGATAAGGCCTAGTTCGAGAGTGGAGGAGAGTGAGGTGGGAATGAGATGTTGAGCGGACCGTGCCAGGCTGCTGGTGGAAGACCATGGAGGAATGGATACTGGGATGGCTCCCTATCGTTAAAATTTCTCTGCAGACACAAAACCCGGAGAGCAAAGAGAATGGGGAGCAGTTTTCCTCCTGCCGTGCTGGTTTTCTGTCCGCAGAGGAACAGTCAAGGTAAGGCCACATTGGTAGTCGTACCATTCGCCTGGTGGCAGGGGGTACTCTGAGAGTGTCCTCGATGATCTGAGGAGCAGGAGAAAAAAATGGGGGTGGATGTCAATGATGACTCTCTAGGACTTTCTTCCAATGTCTATGGTAAAGACCATAAGGAAATTTCTAGAGCAACATGGAGACTGTGACATCACTTTGCAGTGATGTTCTAGGAATCCCCCCAATCTCTATGGTAAAGACCATAAAGACTACGGGGATTCCCACAGCATCACCATTAAGTGATGTCACATCTTCCATCCTGCTCTAGGATGTCCTCCAGTTCTACTGTAGAGATTGGGTGGATTTCTAGCGCATTACCTGGAAGTGACGCCATATTCCCCCAAACTCTATCCTCCCCACCACCTCAAAAATCTCCTGGCATTTGCTGGTTCAGAGCTGGAAATCCTAATACACAGTGACTTTCAACCCTACCCTAAACTTAGCTGAGGGGGAGACAGTTTATAATGCAGGGCTTGGAAGAGAAGCACTGACCTTCATTCTTTCCACCAATGTTCACAATCCACTGAGCACATTTTTGCACAAGCTCCTCTGAAACCAACAGTGGTTGTGCAAGAGCATAGATCTAATTCCCCACATTTTGGTTCAGTGGGGCCCACAGCGAAGGTGAGCCTACATTGTCCCCGTCCCTCCTTACCTTCGGCGATTCCTTGTATGGCTCGCTATAAAGGCTGCGTATCCTCCTGCGCTCGAGCAATTTGTTATCCGCTGGACCGAGTTTCGCACTCTCTGCAGTAAATTGGGCACTATAGCTGGTTTCTTGAACCATCTTCTCATCCGGAGGTTTGTACTGGCTCTTGGCTCTGATGGCTTTCACCGGCTTGATGTCTGTCCATGGGCGGAATTCATTTCTGGTGGAAAGGGGAGGAGGAGTGAGAAATGAACAAGAAGACGATTGGCAGGAAAGCCCAACAAATAGCATTAACGGGTACAGCTGGTATTTACTGAGCAGCTACCCAGCCACCTGCTATATACTAAGTTCAAGTCCAGCAGCACCTTAGAAACTGACAAGATTTTCAGGGTATAAGCTTTTGAGAGTCAAAGCCCCCTTCGTCAGATAGGGACTTCCATTCTTACTTGTATCTGACAAAGGAAGCTTTGACTCTTGAAAACTTGTAGCCCCCAAAAACCTTGTTGGTCCCTAAGGTGCCACTGGACTTGAATCTAGTTCTTCTGCTGAAGATCGACACTGCTAGCCTCTGAAACCATCTGACATATACCGAGTCCGATCATTGGTTCATCTCGATGGGCAATTCATCTCCAGGATGTCAAGCTAGACTGGCAATTCCTCTCCAAGATCTCAAGCTAGAGAACCCAAGTTCGCTGAGATCCTTTAACAGTAGATGATGCTGGAGATTGATCCGGGAATCTTCTGCTACACGTGAAGCAGCCTCGTACCGAGTGAGGCCACAAATCCATTTCATACTGCATCGTCTACTCTCACTGTCAACGTTTCTCCAGAGTCTCAGGCAGAGAAAGTTCTGTCCCAAGACTCGTCATGCAACTGAGTCACACAATAAAAAAGTGCTTACATCACCCACATGGCCACCATGGCGACTTTCAGTCGGATGCACACTGCTCAGAACTTAATTCCAGACATGTGGTGGCTCAATTTTGATCGGGGCCATGGTGCGGTGCCTGCGGACAGGCTGCTTTAGTTTTCCCCTCCATACTCAGGGTTCTTTTTTGTAGCAGGAACTCCTTTGCATATTAGGTGACACTCCCCTAATGTAGCCAATCCTCCAAAAGCTTACAGACCTCTTCTTACAGGGGCTTCTGTAAGCTCTTGGAGGATTGGCTACATTAGGGGTGGGTGGCCTAATATGCAAAGGAGCCCACCCCTAGATCTCTGGGAATTTCTCAACCCAAAGGCAGCAAGCCAGTTTCATGGCCTTTCAAATAGCAGGTTGGATCCAGAATAAGGCTGTGGTCACACGGTCATTTTGATCGGGTTTCACCTCTGTTCCCTCTCACATTTAAAACTGCTGATCAGACACCCACATCCATCTCCCGCACCGAAGTGGGCTCACTCTCGCGATCCTCCCGGTTCCCTAGCGAGTTTTCCGGCACCGGGAAAATCAAGTACTTTTCGGGTACTTGCGCTTTGAATCTGCGATTTTGCCCATCTGGACAGCCATCTCTTGCAATGACTGTGATTAGGTCGTCTGAACATCCTTCTTCCGGTAGGGGTTGGGGGGTTTTTTTGTGTGACTTTCACCATTGTGCACCACTTGGGCGGCACAGCTGTCTGTGTTGGAATATGTAAGTATTCAGCATGTGTGAAGCATGGGTAACAATGTAAATAGATCATGCCAATCCAGAGTGACAGATGTCAGAGTAACTGTCAGTCCAGGAGACCAGAGCAAACCGATTCTGGCTGGTGCAAAGCTGATGTCTTATCAGAGTGACTCAGCAGTGATATGATTGGTCGTTATGTGTATATAACTGTGAATGTACTGTACATTGTGTGCTGACTTGAATGTTAACTGCTTGGCGAAGCACTTTGATGGTGAGAGCTGCGTCTTGTAAATAAACTGCACTGTATATAGTTAACCACTAAACCTGAGTCTGTGTGGTGAGTACAGTGGGACTTCAGCAGGGTGCAATTGGACTGCTACAATCCAACGGTGACCTGGGGATGCAAGGAGCGCACTCTGCGACAGTCTGGACAGTGCATGGAGCACTGTAGCGCAAAGCGAGCGGTTGGGCAAGGGATGTGTGATCATCTGAACCCGCTTAAAAATATCCCCGATCAAATCTACAGCGGGAACAAATCGCAGTACGCTTTTGCCGTGTGACCACAGCCTAAGTTTCCCAATGGTGGAATGGAAGTTTCCTGCTTCTCCTGTCCCACTGATCTCCATGAAACGCTGCACCTGGGGGGATAGGGGACCTTGGGGAATTACGTGAGGCATGGCTACCGTTCCAGGCTAAGTTTAGCAACCAGAAGGAGGGTCGGGGGAGGGACATGGCGGGGGACATGATGTCAGCTGTGACTCCAGAAGTGACACGGGGCAGCTCTAGGAATTGGCAGAAACTCTATGGTAAAACCATAGAGTCTCTGGCTACATAGGGTAGCTCTAGGAATTGCTGGAAGCTCTACGGTAAAACCATAGTTTCCAGCAATTCTTGGAGCGACCCCGCAAAACCCAGAAGTGACATGGAGGTGTAGCTGACATCATCTTAATTTTTTCCCCCCTCTGGCTGCCACTTGGAGTAAAAGCAGGCAACTAAGGCTGCCAGTGCGAGTCCTCCTGCCAAAGGAAGAGGCTGGTCAGCTCCAACATGGCGGGATGGTGGTGGTCTGCAGTGAGAGAGGGGAATCGGTGGAAATTACAAATTTGAAAGAGCCAGTTTCGTGCAGTGTTTAAGAGCGGGGGATTCTAATCCGAAGAACCGGGTTTGAGTCCCCACTCCTCCATATGCAGCCAGCTGGGTGACCTTGGGTCAGTCACAAGTTCTCTCAGAGCTGTTCTCTCAAGAGCAGTTCTCTTAGAGCTCTCTCAGCCCCGCCTACCTCACAGGGTGTCCGTTGTTGGGAGAGGAAGGGAAGGAGATTGTAAGCCGTTCTGAGACTCCGAGTGTAGGTGTAAATCCAACTCCTCCTCCTCTTCCTCTTCTTCTATTTGGTCTGGATTCAACCCAGAATTTAGAACCAGGGTATAGGCAGCAAGACATCTTGCTGGAGCCACCGAATTTTAACGGGGAAAACATTCACGGGAATGGTCGTTGTTGACAGACGCCACACGCCTTTATTTAAAGGCAGACCGATCTGTTTCGTGGTCTGCGTGAGTGACAGCTGCCGATTGGCCACCAAACCTTTGAGTCCTTCCCCTGGGCAGAAACACAGCCATTAATTAAAAGATAGCCGGGTGTTTAATATTCCACACAGACTGCAGACCATCATCTAACAGCTTGTTAATCACTGCAGACGACATCAGGAACGGGGAGCTGCAGCTAATTTATAAATTTCATTCGCACACAAATGAAGGTTTATTTGCATTAATGAGGCCGGCATTGGTGTCTCGATCCGATAAAGGGAAATTCTCATGCAGAAGCAAGTCTGTATGCAAAAGCAGGATCCA